GAGTATTGCTTTCAATTCTGGTTGCCACATTACAGTAAGGATGTGGAAGCTTTGGAGAGGGTGCAGGAGAGGTTTATCAGGATGCTGCCTGGATTAGAGGGTATGAGCTTTAAGGAGAGGCTGGACAGACTAGGGTTGTTTTTTCTCTAGCAGTGGAGGCTGAGGGGAGACCTGATAGAAGATTATAAAATTATGAGAGGCATAGATAGGGTTGACAGTCAGAATCTTTTTCCCAGAGTTGATCTTAAATATCTGAACCTAAGATGGTGCTGCAATGCGGTGACTGTAAACTTTTCACTGTACTCATTTGAGTACATGTGGCAACAAAACCAATGCAATTCAAATATCTAATATTAGGGAGCATGCATTTAAGGTGAGAGGGGTAAAGTTCAAGGGAGATGTGAGGGGTAAGTTTTTTACACAGAGCATGGTAGGAGTCTGGAACAGGCTGCCAGGGGTGGTGGTGAAGGCAGATACGAAAGGGGTGTTTAAGGGACTTTTAGATAAGCACATGAATACGCAAGGAATGGAGGGATATAGACCAAGTGAAGGCAGAAAGGGTTAGTTTAATTTGGTGTTGTGTTCGGCATCACATCATGGGCCAAAGGGCCCGTTCCTGTGCTGTACTGTTCTATGTTCTATGTTTTATGTTCTGCAGGTACACAGAGAGGAACCTACAGGTGTAGAGACAGGCACACAGTCAGAGAGATAATACACACAGGGACCCACCGATATTCCCAGTCTGCAGCACAGACAGTGGGTCAGGACTACATATGTTCTTGTTTTTGGAATGTGGAAGTTTAAATTGTCTTGTGGCGGAGAATGAACCAGCTTTTTTATTACATGGAAGGTAAAGAGGACTCTCTAACACCTTTACATTGAAATGCTCAGCAACAGTTTACGGATTGGTTAAAAATGTTAGTTTTGTCACAGAACGGACAAGAGAGAGAACAGTTGGCCTCTCAGACCTGCAGAATTTTACCTGCAAGCCAGACAACTCTCTCTCCCTCTGTAAATGGTAAAAAAAACACTCATAGGACAATCCTGCCATCCCCAGTGTCAGCCAAGGGAACCTTTGCTTCACTCCCTCTTTGGCAGGTGTAACATTCTGTCAGTAAGGAGACCAAACTGCACACAGTACTCCAGGGTGAGGTCTCGCCAAGGCCCTGTAGAACCGTTATAAGATATCCTTACATCTGAACTCAACTGCTCGTGTGATGAAGGAAAACATACCATTTACTTTCCTAATTCCTTGTTGTACCTGCCTGTCCACTTTCATTAACTGCATCTAATACTATCCCTAATTTCTTTTGTAAGCCATGGTTGGTCCATCTTTTCTGTTTTATTTTTGCTTCAGATAGAAATGAATGATTGTGTAATTCATGCACATATTCCTTAAATAATAGCCATTGCCTATCCTTACATTTAGTAAGCTTCCCCAATCCACCTGCACATCCCTGAACACTACAGGCAATTTCCCATGGCCAATCCACCCTAACCTGCACACCTTTGGACTGTGGGGCAAAAACCAGAGCACCCAGAGGAAACCCACACAGACATGGGCAGAATGTACAAACTCCACACAGACAGTCACCCAAGGCTGGAATTGAACCTGGATCGCTGGTGCTGTGATGCAGCATTGCTAACCACTGAACCACTGTGCCACCCCTTTCCCAGTACACAATACCCAATCCAGGGTAATCAGATCTAGTGGGTTCCTCAACATATTGGTCTAAAAAAACCATCAACTGTTCACTCCATGAAATCCTCCTCCAGGGTAACACCGCTATTGTTTGGTTTGTCCAGTCTATACATAGATTAAAGTCATCCATAATTACAGGTTGTACGCTTGTTGCCTGAGTCTCTAATCTCCTGTTTTGTGCCTTCCCCTTACATGTCCACAACTGTTCGGGACCTATAGACAGCTCTTTGTTCTTTACCCATACAGATTCCACATGATGATTTTCTGTGTCAATATCCTTCCTCATTGTTGCAATGATTTCCTCCTTGATTAACAATCAAGAATGAATTTAGTAACAATTATGAAGCAATTTCATCCTTACTAAATGACCTTACTTCCCTATTTGTCTGGCCTTCCTAAATATTGAATTCCCTTGGATGTTCATTTCCCATTGTTAGTCGCCCTACAGCCATAATTGTAACTACATCATAACTGTGTGTAGAAATGGGGGAGGGGGAAGGGGACTCCGAAATAAATAGAGAGAGAAGGGGTGGGGCTGGGGAAGGTAGGTGGGATAGCAATAGATTCTGCCTTGCCCAGCCCCACCCCTCCTCTCTCTATTTATTTCCCAGCTCCCTTCCCCCTCTCCCATTTCTGAAGAAGGGTCCCGACCCAAAATGTCAGATTTCCTGCTCCTTTGATGCTGCCTGGCCTGCTGTGTTCCTCCAGATCCACACTGTGTTATCTCTGACTCTAGCATTGGCAGTTCTTACTACCTCATAACTGTGTGTATCTATTTGTGGCGCTTATTCATCTATCTTTTGTGAATGCTCTATGCGTTAAGTCACAAAGCCTTTAGATTTGGGCTTTTTAACCTTGTTAGTCATCTTAGCTTTACTTTTCATTATGGCCCCATTTGTTTATTGCCCTTGTTTTCTGTCTTTCACTTTTACTTCTTATTTTAATGTCTTTTGTTTCCATCTTTGTTTCCCTCTCCTCTGTCTCCTTCCTCAGGGCCAAACTCCTCCTCCCATCTCATAATTGTATCTTAAACTCTCCCTGACTGAACTAGTGAAGACCACACCCTACACGCCCCAGCCCCCAACCCACTCCAGCACCCCTCCTGCCCCCACCCCCGACCCACCACACACCTCCCCAACCCATTATCTCAGGATATTGGTCCCAGTCCTGCTCAGAAGCAACCCATCCTGTCTGTACTGGTTTCATCTTCCATAGAATGGATCCCAATGTCCCAGGACTCTGAACCCCCTTCCCACACACCACTTCTTTGACCATGTATTTATCTGATATGCCCTGTAATTTCTTCTCTGACCAGCACCTGGCCTTGGTAATAATCTTGAGATTGCCACCTTTAAAGACCCAGCTGTTAATTTACATCCTACGACTTGAGGGACTCATGCCAGTTTTTATTGTACCCACGACATTGGTACTGATACATACCATGACCATTGGCTACTCACCTTCCTCCTTCAGAATATCCTGCAGCTCTTCCAAGACATCCTTGACCCTGGCACCAGGGAGGCAACATACCATGCTGGAGTCTGTTTTGTGGCTCAGAAATGCCTGTCTGACCTCCTTACTATTCAATCCCATCACTACAGCCTCGCCATTCTTCTTCCTCCCCTCCTGTGCAGCGGTTCCCCTGACATGTCATCTCCTCCAACAGCATTCAAAACAGTATCTCTCTATTACAGGGGATTACCACTGGGGTGTCCTGCACCTCACATGACCTGCTCAGCATCACGGATGCTCCACAGTGAGTCATCCTGCAGTTCCAACTCTAAACTATGGTTCGCTAGTAACTGTAGCTGGACACACCTCCTGCTCACATAGTCACCATGGTGTCGTAGAACAGGAGGTGGGCTCTGCTACCATGGCTTCCCTAGTGTGAGTTTCATCTATCTTAGACGGTGCTAACAGTCAGGAAAATTAACTTATCCTAGTGATGATATTCGTCATATTTCACCTTTGTGATGATTCATGGAAGAGTGAGGCTTGATTTCTAGTGCACTCTACCCACTAGGGTCATGGCAATAGACAGAGATGCAGAGACAGAGAGAGCTACACACACAGAGTCACACAGAGAGACATATAGGGAGACACACAGAGGAGGATAGATAGAGAGACACACAGACCCAGTCAGAGACAGAGGAAGAGACACATGTAGTCAGAGATACAGCTATAGACACATAGACAGAGAGAGACAGAGATACAGAGACACAAGCAGAGTCACAGACAGAGACATGGAAAGAGAAACACAAAGTGAGAGAAACAAACAGAGACACGGAGACATGGACAGACAGGGATACAGTCGGAAATGCACACAGAGACACAGAAACAGGGATGCTGAATACGTAGAGACACAGACAGAAAGACACCGAGCCACACAAACAAGGTCAAAGACATACACAGAAAGAAATTCATAGACCCTTGCAAAAACAAATATACAGAGACACAGACAGCAACTCAGACAGAGACATAGACAAAGACAGACAGGGACACACACACAGGCAGAAACACAGACTGACACATGTGGAGACACCCACAGGTAGAGACACACAAGATGCAGTTTTTCTCAGTGGGACTGCAGTACATCGGGTGTGTTTACACCTTGAGCAAGTTATTCCTTTGTCAGTTAATTCTGGTTTGTAAAGAGCAGGTTTAGAGTGAGCAGTTAGTGGGGCACCTGCTCATTGTTTGTGTGGTTGCCATGTTACACAGTCCTTTCTGTTTATTGATCACTCCTTGTGTTTTCCAACGACAGTCTGTGAATAGAAGATGGAGGTGGCCTCTTTGCCCTGAATGAGTTAGATCACCAGGAGGCATTCCACTCACCAGGCGACATTGATCACGGAGCTGGCCTTATTTCTAACAGGGTTAATGATCAACCGAGGTGGGGGGATGTGAGCAGCAGGATTCAGATATAACTGAAAGGGTGCGATCTATCAATTACTGTTCCAATGCTGTCTGTTTTCACTCTAGGATTTATTTCTCCTCCCCTTCAGTCAGAACTCTTTTTGATTCATGGACTCTGCCCATGTGCTTTTCATTTGAAACAATTGGTACCAGTTTTGACCAGTTTAGCAGCAGCCTGTTAAGATGGAGCAGATAAAGCCTTGAGTGTGCACAAAGCTGGCACATTTCAGCGGGAAAGGCCCCATTGCTTGTGCTGATCTCAAGGTTAGGATGAGGTCATTCCCTTTCCAAACAGGAATGAAGCTGAAATGTGGTCAAGACTGTGAGAAACTTTGCTGGAATTGCTCAAAAATACAAAATAAATACAAACTTTCATGGATACTCGGCGTTCCTTGCATTTTATAGACGTCGGATGCTCTCGGCATTGCACAGACATTGCGAGTTTTCAGTATCGTGAGTACACTGGGCATTCCCAATATACCACGGACACTGGGTGCTCCCAGTATTCCACATATGCTGGGAGTTCTTGGTATTCCACAGACACACTGGGCATTCCCAGTATTCCATGGACACTGGGCATTCCAGGTGTACCACAGACATTTGGAGCACTTGGTATTCCAAGGACCCTAGGTGTTTCCTGCATTCTGTGGCCTTTGGTAATGTTCTATTGGCACTGTCCAGACTGAAAACACCTGTAAAAAAAAAGTAATATTTAAGAAATAAATGTATTGGTCATACTGGATCTTCATTTTGCAACATACAAAACTAGCCCAACTGGCTTTTTCTTCTAGATGGGTGCTCCTAGGTACTATTCTGTGGGCAATGAGTGCTCTCTGATATCATTCATGGGTACCCTGCCCTCTTATGCAATACCAGAGTGGTGATGTTTTTTTGGGTTAATGCAGCATCTCCATTCCACTCCATTCAAGGAGTGTTCAAGGTGGGACAGACAGGAGAATGGCATGACTTCATTGTAGCTCTATCTCTGATCTTTGTTCACTTTAAACATGGTGAGCATTGGATGCAGCAATTCATATGAAGTTTAGAGAGATATTAGGTCTTATAAACACATACGGGGAGAGTCCACAGTAGAACATTTGTTGATTAATGGAATGGGTTTAATTGGCCAAGAGCGAACCTATGGAGATTTTCAATGACCCCATGAGTTAAGTTGTCCCAAATTTTTGGCAAGTTTGTAAATGGGCAGAATACCTGCCATGGGTGGCACAGTGGTTAGCACTGCTGCCTCAAAGCATCAGGGACCCGAGTTCCATTCTACAATGTCTGTGTGGAGTTTGCACATTCTCCCCATGTCTGTGTGGATTTCCTCCCATAGTCCAAAGATGTGCAGGTTACGTGTTTCGGCCATGCTAAATTGCCAATGGTGTCCAGGGTGTAAGAGTTAGTTGGATTAGCCATGGGTTATGTGGATAGGGTAGGTCTGCATGGGATGCTTTTCAGAGGGTCAGTGTGGACTTGATGGGCCAAATGATGTGCTTTCACACTGTAGGAATTCTATGATTCCATGGTTCTATAAAAAACATGTCTTTGTGAATATACTGCCACACAGTTACCAACAATTTTTAAACAGCCCATGAGGCCCAGAGATACCTGACCTGTCCTCAGACACGACCCTGGGTTTCTGGTTTACTTGTTGTTTCATTTCTTCACCTTTGTTTCCACGCTGACCTTTCTGTCCATGGCCTGCTGCAGTGAAACTTGACACACACTTGAGGAATCTCATCTTGTCTTTCGATCCAACACTCTGCTGGAGTCTCCGGACTCCACAACAAGTTCAACAAAGTTGAATCACTGCCTCTGCCTCCAGTTTATTCAATCAGTTTCTTTTCCCCTTTGTTTTGCTGTGTTGGTCTCCATCCTGGTTTCTCTTTGTCCCCTCATGTTGATAGATGATAGAATGATGATAGAATCCTTACAGAGTGCAAGCAGACCATTCAGCCCATCGAGATCACACTGACCCTCTGAAGAGGAGCATCCCACCCTCCCAACACTAACCTTGTAACCCTGCACTTCCCACGGCCAATCTACCTAACCTGCGCACCTTAGGACTGTGGGAGGAAACCGGAGTGCCCGGAGGAAAGCCATGCAGACACAGGGAGAATGTGCAAACTCCACACAATCGCCCGAGGCTGAAATCGAACCCAGGTCCCTAGTGATGTGAGGCTGCAGTGCTAACCACTGAACCACCGTGCTGCAGTTGGCATCTTATTTGGACTCAAAACTTTGTTTTTTCCCGCTTTCGCCATTGCCACATCTGTTGGCTGTAGCATCACCGAACCTTTTGTTATTTGATCTTCCTGGGCCTCCACCCTGTCACAGAGTTTCTCCTGTGTTCATCCTACGACCACCAAACTCCCCTTCCCCTTTCCCACTGCCTTCAAAACTCTCACACTTTGTTTTCTCTTCAATTCTGATGAAAGGTCAGACATTAACTTCTGTTTCTCTCCACAGACTCTGCCTGGCCTAAGAATATTTTGGGGCAAGTCTTCCTTTTTATTCTCTTAGCCTTACCACTAAAATACTTCATTAGGAGGAAGGTTGGGCCTGATAGTGTCAGCTGTGTTTATATAGACATATATTTTTAAATTCCTTCATGGGATGTGAGCATCACTCACAAAACCAACGTTTATTGCCCATCCCTAATGGTCCACATTGCTTTGGGTCTGGAGTCACATCTAGGCCAGACCAGCAGACTTCATTCCTTAAAAGGCATTAGTGAACCAGGTATGATTTTACAACAATTGACTGTCACCATTAGATTAGAGTTTTTAATCTGGATTTTTATTGAATTCAAATTTCACTTTGCCATTGCCTCCTCACATACAGCCTAACTGTAACTTCTTTTTTAAAGAAACTTCTGGAAGCTAACCAATCGAAAGTTGAGAGTTTAAAAAGACTCAAATAAGTCTATCCCAGCTCAAGAACTGTCTTGGTAACTGTTGACAATCTCTTCCTGATCTTCATTCCCAGTTATCTCCTCACCCATTCTCGCCCTCTCACAATCTCCTCCCACACTCTTGATTTCCTCTCTCCTTTCTCAAACTGATCACAATCCCACACCTCCCCAGTCCCACCCAGGCACCACCCACCCCACTGTTTCCCACCACCTCACCCCACGACTCCCAGGGTCTGGCTCAGGGTCTCAAGAGGGAAGCCATTCAAGAGTGGATCTGCATGTCTTACTAAAGTGCTGACTGGGGTTACATTCTCACTCTGTCAGCAGATGTGATCCCAGACACCACCACTTGAGACACAATGTAGAGATGTAGACCCTCTGTTCTCACCAGGCTGTAGGGTAGGGATTGAATTACAAGGGCTGCCTGGCAGTGGGCGCACTTTCAGAACCAGGAATGCTGGGAATCCCTACATTCACGTTGCCCTCAGCAGCCTCCCTGGGGAGCTCTTTTGCTACTGACCTCAAAGGTACATGTGAGTAAGCCCAGAGACCTGTGGGCAGCAGCAGGGCTGACAGCACACTGCAGCGCTGAGGGAATGCTGTCCTGTCAGCAAGTGCAGTCTTTCAGGCAAGATGGAAAGCTTCCACGACATTATTTTGATGAAGAGCGAGAGTGTTTCTCCTGGGGATCCCTGGCCGATATTTAACCCTCACCCAATATCGCTAGGTCAGCGGAAGCGGCGATAGCATCGCAGCTTCCTCGAGGTCCGGAGAATGGACTTTATCGTTCAGATCTGAGCCCAATGCAGGAAGCAGGTGAGGGAGGTCCCTCTGGTATCTGCGGCAGTGGCATCGAGAACAGGCAGCTGTGTGCTCCCAGACAGCGAGCTAAGTGGAGGAGATTGGTGCCCCATCATGGCTAAGCCCTCAAGAAAGACTGTTGAACTTCTAACTTTATTTCTTTATTTTTCTACTTGTGCTATAATGGTCTGTAATGCTCAGCTTTTTAACTTTGTTTCTCTCTTTTACTACTTTGTACCTAAGATTTTTGTACCTAGGTACCTTGGTACCTAAGATGGTGCCATGTGGGGTGACACTATACACTTTTCACTGTACCCTACCTCTGTACTTCAGTACACGTGACAATAACATCTAAATCTAAACCTAAAATCCGATCATTGCTGTTAGTGGGATCTTGCCATGTACAAACTGACTGCTGCTTTTCCCTAACATGTTAAACTGTGACCAAATGCCAAAAAAAAAGTATTTAATTCACTGTAGAGCAATTTGCAACATCCTGAGATGGGTCCTTTAAATGGTTACACATTGGCAATGACACAGATCACATTAGCAGTGAGAGGCATATCAGAACAATTTTACACAGTACATGTCTTGCCTATGTGTGATATTGAGAATACCCCCACAATCCTTACCTGAAAACCACTCCCAGGGTTTTGTTTGGAAATTACCATCCCCAGTGCAGGCATGATGGGCCAAATAGCCTGCTCCTGCACCAGAACAATTCTGGTCGTACAGTGGGCCTTAGTACCTGGAGTCATTTGGAACCATTGTATTTCCATACTCTACATAAAACCAAATATCAACCTGACTTGGAGAGTTATCATCATTTAAAAATAAGAGGACCCCACTTAAGAGAGAGATGAGGGGAATGTTGTCTCTCCGAGGCTGTGGAGATCATATGATTGAAATGGTGTCATTGAATATTTTAAGGCAGAGGTGGATAGATTCTTGACTAACAAGGGGTTTGGAGGTTATCGGGGTAATGCAGCAATGGGGATTTGAGGTTCCAATTGGATCATCTCATTGAATGGCCTACTCTTGTTCCTGCTTCATCTGTACGTTTACACATTATGTTTACCCTCTGTGTGACTTGCCTATAAAGCTGGGCTTGTGTAAAGTTCTGAGCACAACATCATATAGTGACAGCCTGTCTCAACAGGCCAGGGCCGCTGACAGATCCACAGATGGGCCTGAAGCCCAGCTTCAGCCTTGGGCCTCAGTTATATCAGATCAGGGAGCTTTAAAAAACAGCAGCAATGAGTGTTGAAACTTACTGTCATGTAAAGGGATGTCACCTTTATGCTGGGTCTAGAGTCTAAGCATATACATAGGGAGCTATGTCATAGTGACATCAGGTCACATGGCACTGGAGACTGGTCTTGTGGGGGCTCCAGAGAATAAAGACTGTTCATGTTCACTATCAACAACATAGGTCTTACAGCCTAGATGCTGATGCTACAGAATTGGAGGTGAGTGCTAGGAGGTTCATCAGACTGATTCCCAGGATGGCAGCACTGACAAATGAGGAAAGACTGGATCGACTGGGCTTCTACTCACTAGAATTTAGAAGAATGAGGGGGGATCTCATGGAAACATATAAAATCCTAAGGGGACTGCACAGGCTAGATGTGGGAATAATGTTCCCAATGTTGGGGAAGTCCAGAACTTGGGGTCACAGTCTACGAATAAGGGGTAAGCCATTCAGGACTGAGATGAGGAAGAATTTCTTCACTCAGAGAGTTGTGATCCTGTGGACTTCTCTCCTACAGGAAGCTGTTGGGGCCAGTTCATTAGATATATTCAACAGGGAGCTGGACGTGGCCCTGGTGGCTAAAGGGATCAAGGGGTATGGGGAGAGAGTGGGAATGGGGTACTGAGATTGCATGATTAGCCATGATCATATTGAATGGTGGTGCAGGCTCGAAGGGCCAAGTGGCCTACCCCTGCACATATTTTCTATGTTTCTATGAAATGAAGTGCAGTAGCAATAGGTCATGAGGCCAGCCATTGACCTGAAGTGGGGTAATAGCCAAAGTGAAGCTCAGTGGTACTGGGGGTTGGCTAGTGACGGACTTTGATGTGTATCTCGGCACTGAACAGGAAAGGGAAAGTCCTTGAAGAAGCTGAAGAGAGAGCACAAGGCCCAAAGCAGACTGTGTGGTTACAACAGAAAAGAAATCAATCAGCCACTCTGAGTATGATGTCACAGAAACCAAAGTATTTACAGATACAAAGACTCAGAAAATACACCAACGTAAACATGCAAAGGGCATGGCCCAAGGCACAAAGGCAATTCAGCAGAAAGAATCCGATCCAGTCAGTTTTATACAGGGTCGCATGTGCCAAGACAGAGGCTGGGGTAAGTCTACAGAGGTACCGTAGAAAATTAAACACAAAACACAGCAGCCCACAGGAGTCCTGCAAAGGAGGGAAGACCAACTCTTCCTGGGCGATATCAACCTCAGGAATTTAACTGAATAGTATAAACCCACAGGATGAATATTGGCATGCAGCAATTTAGTTAAGAGACAGAGAAACTAGTTTTAAATTGGATATTGGGGTTGAGCTTTTGATGCTTCCTCCATAATAGAGGTCAGGAATCATCAGACTGTCCACCATTAAAGTTTGGGCCTCAGCAGGTACATGGATCAGACTAAGAGACCAAACGCAATCTCCTCACTTTGCTGTAACAAAAAAGGGAATATCAACAACTTGTGCTAATTCCTAATCTTTACAATTCTTTGCGAAGAGGTGCTGCTTGTAAAGCTTTTGATATCCTTCAGTTAGAGGACAATGAAGTCATTTCCGTCCTAGCCTTGCAAGATAATGGGGCTAACCCTCCTTTTTGTCTTGAAACAGAAGCTGGAATAAAGCCACTGAGAAAAAAGACAGTGTCCAGCCACCAGGGGGTATTTCAGGCAGTGGTTTGTCGTTTCAGAATATAGGTACATAGAAAGCAGCCAGCACACAAGTTGTTCTTTTACTGAACTGTGAAACTTATATCATTGCCGTGTTGCTGTATTCAGTAATTGCTGATCCTGAAAACCCAGCTGTCTCTTCTGGGGCAAATCAATCCCTTCTTGAAGGAGATAAAAAGAAGGAAAGTCATCTATTTGCTGCTGGGAACCCACCTGGGAGATTCAGCTCCTGTGGACACAGTTAGACAAAGAAGTACTGAGCTGGAGCACTTCCAGGTGCAGGCAAGTAACTTCTTACCAGTTCTATCAGAATTGCAAGCAAGTGAACCTTCAGAAATGTCGGCAGCCAGTAAAGTGATCACAGAATCTGAAATACGAAGGGATGTGGAGTTAGAAAGGGATCTTGAGTCATGCAAGGAAGAGCTTCAAAACGAATTGGCGATCATCAAAGCTTCACTCAGGGTGGGTGGAGTCCCATTTGTACAGACAGGAGCCAATAGCAAAAAAACAGTGTTTGCAATCAGTCACAGAGGTCACTGTAAAACACTAGCACTTCCACACACACTGTGAGTCAGATTGTTTGAGAGAATAGCTTCACTCAGCAAAGGTCCATCAAGAAGAAGCGCATCAACTGCAAGTAGCTACAAAAAGACAAAAACAGTGCAGACTGGACTAGAGTGGAGTCATTCAAATGTGTGTGTTTGGGTCAAGGGAAAAACAGGAGTAGGCCTGGTGTGAGGAATCCTCTCAGCTGCTGGGAGCTGGTATGAACAGAGCAACAAAAGGGAAAGGATTCTGTCCTGCACGGTGCACAGGGGGAGGGTGAGGGGGGAGAGGGACAGAGGACGGGTAGAGGGAGGGGTGTGA